GCGTGGCAGACCTCTCCTGTCTCGCCCGCTGTCCCCCTCAGCAGTGTATTTCGGTCGTCTTCCTGTTCTGCTCCCTGCTCTGTCTCTGGTGAATCCTCTCACCCTCCCGTGCCTCTGGCCTGTATCCCAGCTCTTGTATAGAAATAATTAATTCTTAAAAAAAAAGTTATTAACATGTTAACATGGCATGGATTTATTACTATTTTTAGTAATTAATAAATATTTTAATTTTAATTTCTAATATGACAAATATTCATAGATATAACCTACCTTTTAAGTCCTTACTAAGTTTTTATGACTCTAAAGGGATACTGAGGCCAAAAGTTGGGCTTCACTGAGTTAGCTGTTTTTAGAAATGGATAGAGCATCAGCCTAGATTCTCCATGTAGAGAAGCTGAATTAGATGTATTTGAAATGAAATTAGATCAGACACTGCATAATTTTAAAACATGTTTTAGGTATAAGTAACAGGCTTTTCTCTCAGTAAAGTTATTTTCACTCAGGTAAAAATATGAAAAGAATCAGGTAAAAATATAAAAAGAATATTTTTACCTTTCTTATCCTCTCAACCAAACAATATACACCATTTTGTATTCTTTTTGATTAACCACGTATGTATTTTCTTCATAATTATTTAAATGCATAATTGTATCCAGCATTCTTATAAGCCTCAATAGCAACTTTAAGTATTTTATAAAAATATACTAAGTCTCAAGCAAGAAACTTGCCAGAGAATCTTATTTTAAATCAAACTTGCCTGAGAGATGCTGTAGCTTCAAACGCAAAGAAAGTGACATTTTCCCCAAGAACTGCTGGAAACCTTGAATTCTGAATTGTTTCTCCCTCACGTTAAAGGTACTATACTCTCTCAAACTACCTCAAGAAACTGTTTTCCACTATTCCAGGTGCTACTTATGCCTCAACAAATGCAATTAAGGCTCAGATCGGTGCTTCCCACCACCTGAAATGTTTTCTTCTCTCATTTCTACCTATCCAAAGTTCATCCTTATTTAAAAGTCAGCTTGAAAGCCAGTTCATCCATAATTCCTTTAAGAGTTCCTTTCATTTCAGTATTATATCACTCTTTGAATATTTGAAGGACTTTTTAAAAATTCACTCAAAATACAAGTTCATTTTGTTTATATTTTTTTACCTCACACATTCCTTTTTAATTAAACTGCTTTAGAAAAGGAACTATCTTGCCAAACTCTATTCCCTGAAGCAACATGGGACAGAGGTAGAAAGGGTTGAGAAAAATGAAGTTCAGACAAAGTATAATCTCCCCAAGGTAACACAGTTAATGACTGAAAGAGTCAAATTTAAGAAGAGGTGATCCCAACACACCCCCCAATTAAAAGTCCATATTCTTTTTACTGTATCCTTCCATGATTCCTACTTCACATACTTTGCTAAACTATTCAAGAAATCTACAAAACAGACTGGAATTAGATTGACTTTCAATGAGTCTCTGAGGTAAAAGATTCAGAGAAAATAATTTCCGCAATTACATTTTTGTCACCCTTGACATCAGATCTCTACAATTCTTTTTATTACAGCCACTAAAACAAATTTAATGTGCAGTTTTCAGGAGAGCATTAACATCAACATCAGTCCCTGAAGTATAACATGCCTACCATCACCTCTACATTTCCTGGTTCTTTATTTTAGCAGAATCAGTCTGTGACAGAGTAAGATTTCAACAAATGTTTACTGAATAAGCAAATGAATTAGTGACAAAATTGGTCATTTCTTCTATTGTCTAGGGATGAGAGTTTACCTCATCTAGTTTCTCATCCAATTTTTACACCATTATTGTCTCAGAACAATGGCTGACAAAAACAATTATGAATTAAGAAAATATTTAAGAAATATACGGAACATATAGATGAAATTTTACATAGACTTTTAGTTCAATTCTGCTTCAAAGGTATCTGAAAATTATCATATCCACTCACCTAGATACTTAATCAAAATCCTGAGATTTGTACTTGAATTCTCCCACTTGCTCCCCCCATTACACTGAATCCACTCACTTTCCACCAATGCCTCTACTAATCTTTCACCAGCCCTCTCTAAATAACCTCCTTTAACCTTCTTAGTAAACTTCCCACCTCCACTCTTAACACTGAAATGTCTATTCTTCATATAGCAAAGTCATTTCTACTTTTAAAAGATGAAATGACTGCTATTTCACTCCTTGCAACACTTTAATAGTTTCCATTATACTTCCAACAAAACAGGAAAATTTTACCATGGAATTCCATATGTAACAGTGTAATCCCCAGAGAAAGGTAAGGTTGCAGGTTCCCTGCCTTACCCTATGGAAGGGTGGAGCTGGGCAAGGAGGAGAAGCTAGAAAAGACTGGGAGATGGACCTGGGAGAGAAGAACAAGAAGGAGGGAGATGAAAAGACCTGGAGTAGGCACATGGAGCGGAGAGACATGTAAAGAAGGTGTTTGCTTCTCAGCCTTGGACTTGCACCGGGGAGTGGGGGACATGGAAGGAGACAGAGACAGGGGTGAGAGACCTGTGGGGAGGCTGACTATGGCTTGACCTGTATTTTGATCTTATTCTTTTCCTTCTGGACGTGCCTGGTCCCTTCTGCCCCTTTCCTATGGGTCTCCAGCAGAAGGTGCCTTAGACTTGATGCAAGTGCTGGGCCACAAGTGGGCTTGCTTTGGGCCAACCCTGTTTGGTTGGGCATTTACCCACGAGGGAATAGGTAACGTTGGGTGTTTAATTGGAAACGATATTAACAATATTCTTTCTCTTCTCTCTGTTGCACACTAATTGCATTAAAGTTCTTTTCTACTGGAAGTCTTAGGCATTAAGAATATGCTTTGTCTTTATGTGGCAGATAGCAGAACCCATTTAGAGCAGGCAGGCTTGGGGGTCCTTCAGTTCCCCTCACTCTGCGCACTAACCCAGTATCCTTTATGACCTGAGCAGTCATGCCGTCACTTCACCTCATTCTTCTCTTCCAGCAAACCACATTCCAGTTATACTGATCCTTCTTGACCACTGTGATCACTAGATTATTACCTAGCACTGCAATCTGTTTCTTTCCTTTATAGCACAGAAGTTACTACATATTTAATTATTTTTTAATAGAGGCATGTTTTTATTTATTTATTTATTTGTTTGTTTGTTTGTTTATACATGCACTGGGTACAGTCAGGAGCGCGGGAGGGTGAGAGAATTCACCAGAGCCAGAGCAGGGAGCAGAGCAGGCAGAAGGACCGAAGTACACTGCTGAGGGGAGCAGCGGGCGGCAGGAGAGGTCTGCGCGCCATGTGGGACCCTCCTCCGGTGGCCGGGGAGCAGCCGGGGATCGAACCGGTGCTGCAGAGGCCACGGGCAGCTTCGCAATCCAGCACTCAACTGCTGTGCCACCGGGGAGGCCCATATTTAATTATTTTTTGTCTGTCTCTTCCAATAAACCCCCAAACAGCAAGCTAAAACTGCTTTTGTTTTACCACAGCATGTGACAAACAATGAAAAAATTTGAATGAAGAAACTGCTTCCTTATTTACTCCTAATTCATATGAACATGTATTATAAATTGCTTATAGGACAGATAAAAAAGTATAAAATTAACAAAGAATGTAAAGTATATTAGTATTACATAACAAAGAATTTGGCTGCCCTTTGTCCCAGGTTCCTGAGATGGGCCTTTTGAATTTTTGGATTCCCAGAGTGACAGGACTATCTTTTATATTCATAATGGTGCCATCAGACCACATTTAATAGTTATATTAACAAAGTAAGAAATTGTGGACCCCTATAATATGACACTAATGAGATGATTCAAGATGGAGCTAGCCTTCCTGGGTGACCAACTATGTGATTAGAAGGATGGGATACTGGAGATTGAGCTAAATCATGTAGCCAAAGTTTCAATCAGTCATATCTATATAAGAAATGCCAATAAAAAACTCTGGACACTCAAGCTGGGTAAGCATCTGCAGTAACAAGGCTGTGTGTAGCACGAAGCACTAGCCTGTTGGGAAGGTAATACAGCCTAATTCCACAGGAAGGAGATACAGGAGCTTCATGTTTGGTACATCTCATCTTAGGCATCTCGCCTTTCAGCTAGTCCTGATTTGTATATTTTCTTTTTCTGTAGTCAAACTATAAGTACAACACTTTCCTAAGTTTCCTGAGTCATTCTAGCAAATTACTGAACCTGAGATGGTAGTTAGAAGCCGGAATTTGTAGCCAGTTGGTCAGAAATGCGTGGCTTGAAAATCCCTAAATACAGACTGGTATCTGAAGTAAGGACTTAGACTTTTTTAATTATTTTTAAAGTAACACTAGTTTACATAGTTGTTTGTGTATTACAAGTGTAAGATCTCCCCCCTTTGGGGTTGTTACACATCACACCCACCACCAAGTCACCCACAGTCCACCACCACAATCCATTGTGCTCCCTCCCCACCAGGCTCGTGCTCCCCACCCCTCCCAAACACTGAGCCCTTAATCTGTAAGGTTAGCCTAACGCCAAATAATGTTAGAACTGCACTATGAATATAATTATGAATAAATAATAGATATCACTTCATAAAAATGTGTAAGACAATACGCAAGCATTTTATATCCGTTATTTCTAAATCATTAGAAAATATGATCTCTAAGCCTCAGAACAAACCCACAGGGTAGAATTACAATTCTAATTTTGTAAGTAAGAAAACTAAGGCATAAAAGTCACATGGACATTAAGTAACTTAGGTGGAATCTAAATTCAAACTCAGTACTATTTGATTCAAAAGCCAATGATCTAAAAAGTCACTATCCTTTCCAGTATCTCATATTGATAAATAAATACAAGATAACACTACAAGACTGCTACCAAAGGATGTGTGGCACTTGTAACATTCTCAACTACTCAAATAATAGACCAAGAGGTCACAATAAAATTTACGGTACTCTTAATGAACTCTTTTATGAAATATAAAATATCATACTTTAATACAAATTTCTTTAACAGATGCTTAACTTACTTGTTTGTGTTTTAGAAATATGCTTCTGGAGAAAATCAACTATCTGAACCAAAACCTTCTTATTACAATGTGTTGATAATTTTTCATCACACTCATAACACCTGAAAAAAAAATTGAGAAAAATATTATAAAAATATCTTCAATAATTCTGTACATCAGGTAATAAAATTCGTACATATCCACCAATATGTGGGGCAAGTCATAGGTTGAGGCACCAGGTAAGTCTAGAGAAATAAGCAGGGGTAAGTTCATACAGTCTAATCATTCAAATTAAAGTTTTGGTAGTTTATCCTAAGTGTAATGGCATGTGATGAGGGGATTTTAGGTGGGGAAATCATATAATCCAATTTTCATCTTTAAAACATCACTCTAAAAAAAAATCATTCTGATAAATGTCAGACTGAGTGGCATCAGGAATAGAAACAGATCATGGGAAAAGCAGCGGGTGTGGAGCGAAATATAGATTTATTTATTTTCAAGTAGAAGCAGTAATAAACTAGAGAAAAAGATAAGGAACGTAAAAATAATTGCCAGGGGAAGGGAAATGAACTGAGGGTATGTCAGTGATTCCCACTGAGGCAATTTTGCCCCTGCAGGGGATGTCTAGCAATGTTTTAAGACATTTTCAGTTGTCCCACTTGTAGAGTTGCTACTTGCATCCAGTGGGTAGAGGCCAGGGTTGCTGCTAAACATCTACAATGTACAAGACGGTCTCCTCAAAGAATTATCAGCCCAAATAACAATAGTTTTGAGGTTGAGAAATCCTGACCTGTATGAAATAAGATTTGCCCTGAGCTGATGTTTAAAGCTGGGCAATGGGTATAGAGGAATTCATTATGCCATTTTTCTACTTTTATTATAAGGCTATAAAAAATAAGACAAAGAGGGCCTCCCCGGTGGCGCAGCGGTTGAGCGCTGGGCTGTGAAGCTGCCCGCAGCCTCTGCAGCGCCGGTTCGATCCCGGGCCACCGGAGGGTCCCACATGGCGCGCAGACCTCTCCTGAGGCCCACTGCTCCCCTCAGCAGTGTATTTCGGTCCTTCTGCCTGCTTTGCTCCCGGCTCTGGCTCTGGTGAATTCTCTTACCCTCCCGCGCTTCTGACTGTACCCAGTGCTTGTATGTATGTATGTATGGATGTATAAATAAATAAATCTTAAAAAAAAAAAATAATAAGACAAAGAGGAGAAAAAATAATTGCCAGACATCTGGTTTAATAACTTAAGTGATGAAAGTTCTGCTTTCAGACATGGGTAAAGACTGAAAGAGACAGGTGCTTTATTTTGTTTGGGGCTAACTTGGGAAGAAGGGATTAGGCAAGAGATCTTCAAAAGTACATTCCTTTTCAGAAAACTACCTCCACTAAGTTTACTCATTAGTGCAGACAATATTAGCAACGGTTTCTTCTATATTATTATTACTTGTTTCCTCTATCTTCATAAGCTTCTAGAGATCAAATAATAAGTGTTTGAAAGTGTTTCATAAGTGTAATTTGTTATACCAACACTACTTTGCATAGTCACAATCTTCATACCTATAAGTATTAGTGGTCTTGAGATCAATGCCTGTAAATTAAGTTTGGGTTTCCTTTCCAAATGGCACATAAATTCGGTCAAATAGGCATTGAGGATCCATCACTTGTACTCAGAAATACGTAGGAAATAGGTAGGTCTATGAAGGAGACGAGTCACAGGAGACACTTCCAAAACATCTCTTCCAATAGGTCAACTGTATTACACTTATCAGGCTTACATAATAATATTCAATATTATTGCAAAAAATAATAAAAACATAACCCCTCACTTGCAAAATATTGTAATGTCAAGAAAGTGTTACTGACACAGCAATTTAAGTTTTATGGGTAATAAGATACATTGTTCTAACTTTAAGAATACAATACAAAAAGAAAAAGGCAGTGAATATGGAGAAAAGAGGACAGCTCAGGATAACTTAATTCCACTTGTTCCCATGAGAAATAACAAAGAAGGCTTAAGAAAGCATTTAGTAAGTGCTAGGTACTATTCTTTGCATGCATTTTGCTTTAATTCCTCACAACAATCATAAAAATATTGTCATTTTGAAAATAAATAGCTTTATAAAAGTACATTTGATTTTCACAGATGAGAAACAGATATGGAAGGGCTGGCAAATCAGTAATGTGATAAGTGCACAGAGAAAATATTAAACCTTTCAACAAACTTGAGCACTTTAAAAGCATTCCATTAATGTTACTTTAAGTGTTAAATCAGTGCCTCTTAGGGCATCTGTCATCTATGAAACTTTAAAATACAAAATCCCTGATTTAATGGCAGACCACTGACACCTATGTTTTTTTCAAACCCCACCTGTGAGATTCTGATGTGAAGTTAGAAGTAAGAAATTATTGTGCTAAAGATTATTATTCAGTCAAGCAGCATTAAATCTATCCCCCAGCAATATTTTGATAGCGATGACTGAATTACCAAACCTACAATATTGCTTTCTGATACAATATTTCTTTATGACATAAATCATTTTCGCTATAATATAACATTATAAAATAAACCTAACATATCAAATCACAAAACTCAGTAATTCATTATCCTTATAACTCTATACACCTATGAAAGAAAAATAAACAATATAAAGGTAAAATTGTGAAGTTAATTATACTAAAACTAACACTATTATGCTAGGTAAGACTTTTTGCTGAAATTAAATCATGATTCATACTATAATTATGTTCCTAAAAGCTTCTACAGCGGTTCGGACACACATATTTACCTGAGACGATCTATTCTACCAGGTGCCACTCAATTCTCCACCACCTTTTTCTATTTGAGTGGCCCTCAAACACTGTGGGCTCAAAATAAGCTGTACTGGCAACATCTGAGAATTTGTTAGAAATCCAAATTCTCAAACCCTGCCCCAGAACTACTAAGTCAGATCTCCAGGCCTGGTGCCCAGCCATCTATTTCTTTCTTCTTTTTTTTATTTTTAAAAAAATTTAAACAAGCCCCCTAGGTGACTGTGATATGCCCCGAGTTTGACACCTCAGCTCTATTCAGACTGCAGAGACATGCTGACAGAGCTGCTGCATCATGGTATTATCCCCCTCCCTTGGCCCAAAAATATCATTTACATATTAGTCTCCAATAGTCTTTCTTCATACTCCCCAATACTTGGGGTCAAAAACACAATTGGAGCAAGCATCATTTGTGCTTGTGGCTGAATTAAATTATAAGATGATGATCTTTCCTGTAAGTCAGAATATTCTTATATTAATTTTAGAATCCTGAAATAAAAACATGAAGTTAAAAAACTTTTTAAAAGTTAAAATCTCTTTGTCTTACAGAAAACTTGAAAATTCCTTAAAAATCAATCAAGTGATTCCAGGAGTCTACAGATTCCAGTTAATAAATTATTACTTAAAATGGAGGGAAAGCTTTTCCATAGAGTGTCCACTTTCATCGATGTAGCATGTTGGTAAGCAACTAGAGAATCAAAAGATTTGGCTTACTGCCTAGATTTCTACTTTGCAGCCTCAAAAAGGTAAATGATGGTGTCCATATACACAAAATGAGCTCCAGAATCACCTGAGAAGTTATGTACATGCCCAGACTCACCCTTTCCCCTGCAGAGAATCACCAAACCACTTGACTGACTGAAGTACCTACCTCCTCTACAACTCTAGAATTCTGTACTAGTCAAGTTTTACTACACAAAATCAAATAGTAAGAGTTTTTCTTTATAGTACAAAGAAAATGTTAGAGAAATGTGGAGGGGTATACTTATGAGTAATGTCAATTTTCTTAAATTATTCCACAGGTTGTAATCAGACTAAAAAAGCATGAGCTGATAACATCTTTAAATACTTAACCTTGTAAAGCTCAAAGAAAAAGATATTTTTGGTAGTAGACATTAAGTACTAACAAAATTTAACTTACCATATAATCCATGTGCTCAGACTAATTACAATACAATGAGGCTCAGTTTTCCAACTCTTGAAGTGTTTCAATGAATGTTGGCTCTCTGAGTTTTTACCACATCCCTAAAGATGAACAGAATGCTACTTGAGTAATTTACATATAGGTTTGTTGGCAATAAAAGCTTAAAACAGGGCTTAAGTCTCAGCACTATAACTGCTAAGGTCTGAGTTGGATCCTTGGGTAGCAAGATAACCCACATTTGGTGCAGCAGGCCTCTCCTGTCTTGCTTGCTGCTCCCCTCAGCAGTGTATTTCAGCAGATCTGCCTGTTCTGCTACCCACATTTTCCACTGGTGAATCCTCTCAGTCCCCACACCTTTGGCCTACACCCCAGTTCTTCTATGCAAAAATAAATAAAAGTTAAAAATAATAATAATAAAGCTTAAAACATACTAAAATTGATACTAAACAAGTTTTGTTGTTAATTTCAAGCAAGAAGGAAAAGTTTTAAAAACTGTTTTCTTCTTAAATTTAATTTCTTGCAAAGAAACTAACTTTGTTTTTGTTAGATAGTATTTACCTAACACTATCATGCACCAAGTAATTTCTCTACCATTTAAAAAGCTACATACCCTTCGTTGTATCTATGGTGGGTCACTGAGGCAGCTGTGACCAGTAAGACCACAGTGCTCCTCCCCTATACACACCTAACATTGTGCACACATACACTCCAGCCTGACTGAAAACTGGTGCGACTGAGACCGGTCATAGTAATTTCAAGGAATGAAATTCAGTTTCAGTCAATGCAACATGACAGGCAGTCTCCTGGATGTTTCTGGCAAAGTGTTATATATTTTAAAGAAAGAACACAGGAAAGAGATGTAATTTTTGCCCTCTTTCTGGTCTTTTCAGAATGTTGTGTGATACATAATGCATTAAACATCTCTGGCAATAATGAAACTGTGAAATTAAGGATGCCAACAAGAAAGTGGAAGAAATCTCATTCAATGGGTTCTAAAGTTTTTCCCATTGAATTAACTAACCCTGAAGTGGTTACAGCTTTGGACTTCCTATGAGATTCCCCTTATTTTTTAAAAAAGCATACCCTTTTATTTTTATTCAAAAATTCCTTTACTGTAGATGTCAAGTGTTTCTGTGGTGTTTAAATAAATTACATTGAAAAATGGGTAAAATAATACTTTCTCAGAAAAAAAAATCTAAAAAGATGGGGGAAAAACTTGGCTCTATTTCCTAAGTAAATACCAATAGGTAATGGCAGGTCCAACAAAGTATTTATAATCACATGATTGCTTTTTGAACATAACTTACCTTTTACTTTATCTTAACAAACATGTTTAAGTTCAGCCTTGGAAAGAGTACATCTAAACATGGAATAAATTTACCTTAAAATTCTATGGGTGACCAACTGTACAACTGTACAACTCACCATAAGCTTTTGAGAATATTTTAAGACAAATTCACACATAGAAAGCACTTTTCTCACCTGAAAACCACACTTGAGGCACAACCAAATATCAGAAGAAAGCACAGGCTGCCCATCATAGAATCTTCTTTCTTTTAAACATTCTGAGCAAACTGACCACAGAGTCTCAGTTATTGCTCTCTTCACATGATTCACACTAACAGCATGACTTACATGTTGGCAAGTAAAACCTACTGAAGAAGACAAAACAAAATGTGAACATTTTCTTTGCTAAACCAAATTGCTACCATCAGTAAACAGAAGTCAATAGCATTAAAATGCTGAAACTAGAAAGCAGAGAATCAAAACACAAGACTGAAAATTGTACTTTGATTCCATTTATAAAACATTCATAAAATAATTTAATTATAACATTGGAGATCAGATTGTGGTCGCCAGAGACAATGGATGGGGGTTAGGGGGAAGGACTATAAATAGGTAGCGTTTGGGAAGCTGATGGTACAGTCAAGTATCTTATTTATGGTCATACAAAGTGACACATAATAAAATGCATACAGCTGCATCACTGTGCATGTATATCTGGTGAAATTTGACTAAGCTATAAAGATTGTACCAATGTCAGTTACCTGGCTTTGATATTGTACTTTACTTACAAATATAAGACATTAAATCAGAAAAGGCAGGGTGCAGGGTGAAAGGGACCTCCATGTCATTGCACCTTCCTGTGCATTTATAATTAGTTCAAAAAATAAGAAGTTTAAAGAAAACTATCCTAAAACACTAAGTTAAAAATAGTTAAAATGGAAATAATACATTAAAAACATCTTTTTAAATGGAGATCTGAAATGGCAAGAAAGTAAGAAAAATTCTCAGAGACCAAAATTAAAAGCATGAGATTAAAGGATTTAAAAGCCAGCCAGCAGCTCCAAGGGTCATCTGTCCACCATGGTGAGTTGGGTCATCTGTCCACCTTGGTGACTGGGAGGCTTGGATTTAACAGGTCATGAATGAGGGGCCAAGAAGAAAAGCCAATTCTAAATTAAACAAAACAAAATCACAATAAAACACCAACAGGGTTTTTTGGAACTAGACAAGCTGATTTCAAATGAAGAAAATGGTAAAAACAAAAAGCAAAGGATTTATTAATTAAAAACAGCACACTATTTAGGACAACAGATCACAATTTACCAGCAATGTCATCTGAAGAGTCTTCATCATGAGGTATAGTAGGTCTTTTACTTCTTTTGGCTTTTTCAGCTAAAGCTTTGGATGGCTCCTTTACCCGCATCTGTTATTTACTGGGAAAGTTGGAGGGGAAAGGAATAAACTTTAATACTCAAAACTAAACTTTTATGTTTGATTCAGTGCATATTAAAACTAAAATGACTTCAGTTTTAACTGGTCTAGTAAACCAGTAATGAAAGAAAAAATCTTTATTAAAGCAAATAGACACATTATTTTCTACTTTCACCAACTACTCCCTAGACATGCTATCCGATGAATTAAACAAGTAAAGTTTTGGTCAACAGAATTAGAGCTGCTCCTGAGTCACTTGCCCACCTTGCCATTTCTTTTATTTCGCTAACAAGAAGATAGTAGGAGTTGAAGAGCCATAAAGGACCAGGGATGGAAGCCATGCGCCGAGCACAATACAGCTGCCCTTTCTGACCTAACACCAGATTACTGTGAAATAAATTTCTCTTTTAGATAATACATTGTTAGCATTTCCCCCCACTTTTCATTATGAAAAAATTTTAACTTCTACAATTTAAAAGGATAATGAGGGCCTCCCTGGTGGCGCAGGGGTTGAGTCTCAGCGCTTTCAAGCTATCACCAGCCACTGCAACATGGGTTCAATCCTGGACAGGGAGCTAACCCACATGGCGCAGCAGACCTCTCCTGGCTCCTCTTAGCAGTGTATTTCAGTAGATCTGCCTGTTCTGCTTCCCATTCTGTCTCTGGTGAATCCTCTCTCACACCCACACCTCCTGCACCCCAGTTCTTACACGCATAAATAAAAATAAATCTCAAAAAAAAAATAAAAGTATAATAAACATTCATTTACTAGATAGATTTCATATCTCTTAACACTTTGCCGTATGTTTCATATAAATATTAATGTGTGCACAGACATACACACCTTTATTTTTTTTTCTAAACTACTTGAAAGTTGCAGAAATTGTAACACTTCACCCCTAAATACTTCAGCAGGAATCTCTTAATAAAGACATTCTCCTATATAATCACATCATTATCATATTTAAGGAAATTAACAATTTCCTGATATCTCATATTATATATTTTTAATTTCTTCAGTTGATTCAAATGTCTTCTACAATGTTTTTTCTTTAATGAGGATCAATTAAGGTTTGCCCTTTATACTATCTCTCTTTAATGTCTTCTAATTGACCATTATTCTTCCTCTCTTAACCTAACTTTTTAAAGAAATCAGGTCAGTGCTTATCAGTAATATTGGAGAGTGCAGTGAAATGTGGTTTTTTATTCAAAAAGTCTGGTAGAGATAGGACCCGGCATTCTATTTTTAACAGTTCCCTAAGAAGATGTTGCTAGGGGTCCACATGTTTTCAATAGCAAGGTTTTATAATGTTCCATGATGAAAATTTGCATCTTCATGGTGTTATTTACCTCTATCTCTTATATTTCTTAAATTCTAAAGATTTGAATTACATTTTAAAGATTACAAGCATTTTTTTCAAACTTGATTTTGGAGTCTTTGTTGGAGTAGCTTACTTCATATCATCCTGCTCCATAGCTAAGTTACACTGTAATTTTCATGGGTATCTGATTTGCTTTCATTGATGAGAGTGGAAAAATATTTCATTCATAAACTCTGAATGTTGATTTTGCATTCCATATTCCACATAAGAAAGCTTTTGGGTTTACCATTTTAACAGTCATTTATCTAAGTCAAGGGTTATCAGTGTTCAACTAAACCTCAACAATGAAGACCTTCGGTGTTTCAGAAATGCACAAGGTCACGAGTTCCTTAACCACTTAATTTTAAACTACCTTGCTCTCTCTCACTCTCTCTGATGATCTTCCTCATCCAACCCTACAACTCCAACTTGCAAAGTCACTAATTCAAATATTCTGTACTTTGATCACAATTTCCAATAAATTCTTCCAGCTTGCTTGGTCTACCACTCCTAGTTTCCGTTAATACCCAGGTTTCCATGATCACTACAGCTGGACAAGGAGTAGGGGAAGTGGCAAATGGAGTGCTGGTTCTTAATGCTTTACCTAGAAGTGATACATCATATATACTTATATTTTACTGGCCAAAGCCATTTAATTTCAAGTAGACATGGGTGTGTGTGTACAGAATGCAATCTTACCATGTATACCCAGAGAGAACAGAATATGTGTACACAGCCTTAACTGCTACCATTTCACTCCTTTGACAAACCCCAATCCTAGATGGCCTTAGTAACCACTTTCTCCATGTCTGTATCCAAACAGGTTGGACAAAGTCTTACAAGAAGACTGGATCACTACATTCATTATCACCATCTCAAATGGACCAAGACATTCATTACTTACTACACTATCTGGTAATCCTATTTTACCTACTCCTCACAAGTTATTTGAAATTTTTTTCATTCTCCCAAATCTCCATTGCCTCCAACTCCCCACCCCTCAAAAAGTAATCTAGCCTTCTACTTTACTGAGGGAAGAGACATAATCAGATGGCAAATCTGATCTTTCTATGCCCAAACTTACAAACCTACCTCAAACTATTTCCATCTGATGCCCTGAAAAGAGATAGACATAACCACATGAACCCAGAAAAATGGTCCACGAGAAAGTGGTCATAATTTTTCCCTAATGACACAGATAAATTCTAGATAAAGATGAACATTAACACATAGGTAATGTTGGCAGAAAAAAAAGAAACATGTATTTCACCTAGACTCTGAGAAAGACCTATCTATACCTGTTTTTCAGAAACACGGACTCACACTTAACATGGCAATGAAGTGTCAATTTCCAATGATTTTTCTGACATTCAATTATGTCTAAACATGAAGAATCACTTTTGACAATAATTCACTATTTAACAATCACTTCTCTGGATAGCTTTCTTTTTCAATTACCCTTTAAGGCAAAGAGTCAAAGTCCAATGATTAGAGTTTCAACTGCTTTTATCATCAATGTTATATCTAGGGGCTCCAAGAACCCCCACATGTGTAGATTCGCTGAAAGGATTCAGAGGAGCCAACATATAGTTGTATTCATGGCTAATGTTTATTATAGCAATGTAGTATGGACATACAATCTGAGCACAATGGAAAATGACACAGGAGGAATCCAGAGAAATCCTCATTCAGGTTTCCCTGTGTTCTCTCTCTCCCATGAGGAGTCAAACTGCATAGTCCAGCCCTCACTGGAAGGAATATCCACCAATGTGTGTGCAATGTCCATGAAACCCAGTATTTTTATGGGTGCTGATAACTTCAGCATGAATCATAGTTAAGCAACAACTATATCGTTCCCAAGTGGGAACTCCAAAATCCAAGTTCCCAGTGCCAAATAAAGGCTAACGTTTATAAGCAGGCAGGCCTTTCTAAGGAAAGTATTCGTAAATCTGCTGTTACATCTTTTCAGAACAAGTATGTTCTGGCTATTTTTCTCACATGGCTTCCCAAACATCAACTTTAGTTTTCAGTTTCCTCATTACTCTAAACCTGTCTTTCCTCTTGTGCAGGATGTGCAACTAAGTTTTTTGCAAGTTTTTATTAAAAATGCAAAGGGCAGTTCATACTCTCAAAAAAGAGAGACGGGTGGGGCAGGGAGGAGACGGACACAACTCCCCTGTCAGATGCCAGGTTCAAATACACAACCAGCACTTACATACTTTCGCTATCACGCTCCGTTACACGCACTGAAACACACTCACCTACTTAATGCTCACAACCACCTTATGAAACAGGTTACCATTACTTCCCCCATTTTACACTTGAAACCGAGACACTGAGGTTGAGTGACTTGCAGAGGATCGGGAGGCAGAGCGTGGCTGATGGGGTTTCAGACCCAGGCAGCACTTGTAAAGGGCTCCTAACCCTACACGATGTTGTCAGAAATGTGGTCACGTCTCATCCAGTCACCACCAAAAACACCCCAAGTTCCATGACAGGCAAATGCGTCGTGAGCAGAGGCCGCCAAGGAAGGACGGAAGGATGTCTGGCCGCAGCGCGCCCAGGTCGTCGCAGGCGAGGACTCGGGCCCCTCCCCGGCCGCCCCTCCGCGCCCCGACTCCCCGGCTCCTCCCGCCGCAGCCGGACACACGGCCGCCCCGGCCTCCGGAGCGCGGCCCTCGGCGACCGCCGGACTCCCCCAGGGATCGGGAAGGCGGGAGGGCTGAGGGAGCCTCGCTTTCGGCTCCATTACGCCATAAGGGGCAGGGTAGGGAAAGCGAAGATTGGGTAACTACGCCGACCCCAGCACCGCACCCCCAACTCACCCCGCCGGGCCGAGCAGCCGCCTCTACAACCGGGAGACACTGCGCATGCGCGGCTCTCTCGCCGGCCGGCAGGGGCGGGGCCTCCGTGCCGGCCTCGCAGTCCTGGCGGGTTCGGGGCCGCCCTCCTGTGGCGGCGCGTACAGAGTGGGGCGTGGAAGGGCGGCGCCGCGTCACGCATGCGCCCTCCGTGGGCGCGCCGCCCGGGAGGCCGGGCCACTCTTCCTATAGGCCTTGCGGCGGGGCTCAGTAAGGGGCCCGCGGTGTGCGGGTCCGCGCCTGCCAGGTCCTCCTCCGGCCTCTCTCCGTCAGTCTTCTGAACACTAAGGTGATCTTTGACATTATACGTGATCTTTATTTTTTTTTTTTTTTTTATGTTATTGCCTGATCAGTCGTGGGCTATTTTTTTTTTTTTTTAATGCCTGGTCTTACTTACTGGTTACTCATAGAAAATCAGTTTTGACTGGACCCAGACTTGGAGGATGGAAGCTCTCAAAGAAGACAGCCTCTGTCTCTTGGCAATTTGTTCCTGGAGTTTTTTCTTTGGCCTCCTTCTTGCTCTTGGCCAAAATTTAGCAAGTTTACTGAGGATCAGCTAACTGCCTTTTCAAATAAAGTTAAATATCTTAATTTTTCCGTCATTGTTCTGTCTGGAAGTGTTGTCAGAATATGTTGTTCTGTCAGAATATTTTCTTAAGCTCGAGGCTGTACATCTACTCTTCAGATGTTATTTTTTTTTAAGTTACACTCTATTAGAAAAATAATACATTCTAGTTTAGTGTGAAGTTCCTCATCTCCTCCTTCCCACATTCCTATTTCCCCTCTTCAGCGGTAACATTTCCTCTTTTCTGTTTATTTCTTATCTATAGTTTCAGGAATTTTCTCTGTACAATATGCATTTGTACCATATTATATGACTACAGAGTCAGAGTAGATTACAGTGTACATTTTATTCTAAAATTTGATTTTTTTCACTAATGTTCTACAGCTTAGTTTTTGCACTTGACAGTAAATATTGGACATATCTCCACATTAGCCAACCCCCCCCCCTTGGCATCTTAGTCCAAAGTTAATCTTCAAAATAAATCACGCAGAGACTATGATTAAGCCAAACAATTGGAAATGATCATACTGGTTGAGAAGTCTGAAGTGGTTTTATTAATTATTAAATTATAAGAAATAGAATATTTAAAAGTGCTTGCTGAAAGAAATTCTTTATACATTAATAATATCATTTAGAAATTGCTCTATGCATTGTCAGTGAATCAATTTGCAGTTAAATATTGCTTTCCTTATGCTTGGGAATCAAGTTGAGAATGAGTTAAAAGCAAAGTAATAAAAACTTTATGTGGTAGGCTGAATAATGCTTCTCCAACCTGCCCCCGCCCCATGTCCTAATTTCTGGGACGTTTAAATGTCACGTGACATGGCAAAAAGACTTTGCAGCTATGATTAAATTAAGAAGCTTGAGATACAGAGGATATCCTGGATTATCCTCATGGTACCAGTGTTATTGCAATGGTCCTTAGGAAAGGGAGGCAGCAAGATCAGAGGAATAGAAGGAATGTTACAATAGAAACAGAGGTCGGAGAGAGAAATTTGAAGGTGCTAAATTTCTGGATTTGAAGATAGGGAAAGGAACCACTAGCCAAAAATTGCAGGCATTCCCCAGTAGTGGGAAAAGGTAAGTAAAGAAATTCTCACCTAGAGCCTTACCAAGGAACAAAGAATAACTGACATCTTAATTTTGGGCAACTGAGACCTTTGACCAAGAGAATTGCACATAATAAGTTTACATTGTTATAAACCAGTAAATTGTGGTTATTTGTTGCAGTTGCAAACTGACACATTTTATAAAATAATTGGATATAATCCCAACAAAGCTCTCTTCAAATATAGTCAAGTATCATCAAGTCATAGGGAAAAGAAGATAGCATGAGATTACCTCAATATTAACAGAGTCTGAACCAGCTTTTGGAGTTAAGAGAAGTTCTTAGAGAAGTGTCCATGTAGCTTGCTTTAAATTAACCCATCAGGCCTCCCTGGCGGCACAAGTTGTTAAGCACCGCACTATGAAGCAATCTGCAGCCTCTGCAGCACGAGTTCCATCCCCAGCCACCCAGGGAGCTACCCACACGGCGCAGCAGACCTCTCCTGTCTTGTCCACTGCTCCCTTTGTTAGGGGGAAAAGGATGTCCCAAAGCAAATTCCATATAGGCTTTGTGGACTCCACCCCCACCCCAGGTCAAAGCCAAAGACACTGGGAACTCTAAATCCCATCACCACCAAAGGGAAGGTGGCTGGGACCTGAGGGTGGGGTTAAGCAGCCAGGTGGATACAAAAGGCAGACACTTGGGCTTTGGGGGGCTCCCCCATTTTGGCTCTCCACCAGCTAGCAGCGTCCGGCCAGCTCTGAGAGTGACTTTGGGTTTCCAGGTCGTCGGATCGGGTAGGACGCATTAAAGACTTTATTTCCCTCTTTTCTCCCTGAGTTGTACATTTTCCTTATTTCCTTTTCTCTTGTAAATAAACCTTTTATTAACCCTTTTGTGTGTGTCTGTAGTAGAGTATTCGTAAGTCCCTTTAAAGCGCGCGGGTGAGGACCCACAGCCAGGAACCCGTTTAATATCCGGGTTGCTCTATAACACCTTCAGCAGTGTATTTCAGTCAGTCTGCCTGTTCTGTCCCCACTCTGTCTCCAGTGAATCCTCTCACCCCTGCCCCGCATCTCTGGCCTGTACCCCAGCTCTTGTATGCATAAATAAATCTTTTTAAAAAATAAAGTAACCCATATTATGAGAATTGGAGAAATATATTTCCTTTCAACTCCTTGGTATATTTTTTCTTTCCACTTTTAAACTTAGTTTCTTCTTTAAAAAAAAAAAAAACAAGAACAACAAAAAAAGCGATCTCAACAATTACCTTCCTTCCAAATGATTTTAAATTTGAAAGCAGGGCAACACTTGATCAATTACTCCTCGTAGTACTACCGGGTAGGGCCGGCGCCGGCCGGAGGGCGCCCAAGAGCCGCCCGCTGCTCCCGGCGCCGGGAGGAGGAGCCGCCGCAGGAGGCGGAGCCGGCGCAGTGGAAGTGGTCAGCGGCCCCGGCGCGGGCGGACGATGGTGCTGTCGCAGCTGCTGCTCGAGAGTGCGCGCCGGGCGGTCCTCGGGTCCGCCGAGGCTGCGCTCTGGGGTGAGCTCAGTGGTCTCTGGGGAAAGGGAGAGCGCCTAACCTCAGGCACCAGGGAAGGGGTGGCACTGGTGGGGGTGCTCGCCTCTTTTGTTCCAATGAAGAGTCGGACCCTTTACTCTTGGCACATGGGGGTGTAGCACCCCCTTGCAGTTCTTGTGCCTTCAACTCTCTAGCGACTGAGGTCTGGGTTGCTCTTGGGAGACTCGGGGAGGGGTGGGGGGGGGTGTTGAACATTGCTCCAGAGAGCTCGTGAGAAAGCATTTACGAAGGTTTTGGTGCTTGATTGAGCAATGAAGGTCAGCGACTCCGGAAGGCGAACCAGTGGGTTAACTCCTGCCGGAACAAGACATGCTGACCCAACCGAGTCTTGAGAGTTACCCTGTGACCCATGAGAGAGAATTATAACTTAAAAGCTATGACCGTCCCACCCCTAGTTTTACAGTTGGCGAAATAGAAGCCAGAGAAGTGAAGGTGGTTAGTGAAGGGTTGTGTTTAGAACTCAGCAGACCTCCAGTCCCCTCTCTGCTTTACAGGCTGCCCCTCCTTTAGCGACAACTTGTATTTGTGGATACATACAGGGCCAAGGCACAACACTTTCTCCCCGCCCCCATTCCACCTTTCCCTCTCTGTTGTTACACCCTCTGTGCTTTAAGAGGTGCCTTTCTTTCTTTCTTTCTTTCTCTCTCTCTCTCTCTCTCTCTCTCTCTCTCTTCTTTCTTTCTTTCTTTTCTTTCTTCCTTTCTTGATTTATTTATGCATACAAGAGCTGGGGTACAGGCCAGAGGTGAGGGGGTGGGAGGGGGAGGATTCACCAGACACATAGTGGGGAACCGAACAGGCAGATTTACTGAAATACACTGTTGAGGGGGGCATCGGGTGAGACAGGAGAGGTCTGTTGCACCATGTGGGTCACCTCCCTGGCCAAGGATGGAACTCTTGCTGCAGTAGCTGTGGATTGCTTCATAGTGCTGACGCTTAACCCCTTGCGCCACGAGGAGGCCCCGAAATGTGCTTTTCTATGCAAATTCTTTTTGTCATTTTGACCCTTGTTCAACAGTCATCAATTGAGCTGGAGCACAGCCTGTGTCCTGTTTCCCATTTTGGGTGAGAAGCAACCACACAAGCAACCACACCTACAACCCAGGAGAGTAAGAAGGCAATGGAAGGAACCACTGACTTCCGCTGAGTCCAAGAAAGTATTAAAGAAAGTGTCTTTTTCAATTAAAAAATTCTGGGGTCTCCCTGGTGGCACAGGGGTTAAAGACAGCGCTATCAAGCTATCGCCAGCCACTGCAGCACAAGTTGGTTCCCCAGCTGGCCAGGGAGGTAACCCACATGGCACAGGAGACCTCTCCTGTCTCACCTGCTACTCCCCTCAGCAGTGTATTTCAGTAGATCTGCCTATTCTGCTCCCCACTCTGTCTCTGATGAATCCTTACCCCACACACACACCTCTGGCCTACACCCCATTTCTGTATGCATAAATAAATCATCAATTAAAAATTCTATTGGTTACATATGACAGTGTTCTCATTAAAACAAACAGTGAAGCACATCATTGACCTGAGCCCCCATATACCTTCCTCGGATGAGGTGTGGTACACATCCTTTAAATGCTTTTCTATGAGTACACCTAAATAAAGGCACATATAAAAATATTGCAAGTATAATGTATGTCTACATATGTGCATAATAGAAACATGTTATAACTATATAAATAATGCGATCTACTGGATATACTTTTCTCTATTTTTGTCACTGAAGTGTTCAGAAGCTTTCCATGGCAACACATGTAACTCTTTCAACCACTGCATAATTCCCATAGCACAGACTTCCACAGTTCATTTAACCAGTCCCCTATTGATGGACATTTTATTTTCCAGTTTTTTGTTATAAAATTCTTCAGTTAATCAACTTTTTTTTTACTCTTTGTGTATATGTACAAGTATTTTATTAGAATGGATATCTAGAAGTGGAATTGTTGGGTTAAAGAGGTGACAAGTAACTTTTAATTGGGCCTTAAAGGGGAATAATTATGACAGGTAGAATAAAACAGTGTGTACAAATCATGAAGGAAAGGCAGAAATAGGTTTTTATTGATTGTGCTCTGTAGATTATATAAAGCTCACAGCAAAGGTGGTTTCCACCTTTTGGCTATAGTGAATAATGCTGCTATGAGCATTGGAAATTAATATTGATGTAATACTATTGATTAATCCACAAACCTCAATTAAATGTCACCACTTTTCCCATTTTAATAGTACCAGATCCAACCCAGTAGCCTATATTGTATTAAATTATTCTGGCTTCTTAGCTTTAATCTATAGTAGGTTAGTCTGTCTTTCATGACCTTGGCATTTTAAGAGTAGTGGTTATTTTGTAGACTGAGTTTGTCTAAAGTTTTCTTCAGATTAGATTCAGGGTATGCTTTTTGGTAAAAATTCTAAGAAAGTGGTGATGTACTCTTCTCAGTGTGTTGTATCTGGGTAAATATTTACATATTTTTTTTTACTGGTGAAGGACTATTGGTCAAAAAAATTTACATTCAACAACAGGAGCACTTTATTTTTTTTTTTATATTTTTTATATTTTTCATTTTTGCACAATGCATGCATTTTCATCTTGGTTATAGTCCCCATACAATTCCCACCCCCCTTATTTTGACCATAATTCCCCCTCCCCCCCCATAGTGTGTCTCTGATTTATAGTTGCTTGTTGATTTTGATTTTTGCTTTACTATAATTAGTCTTTCTCCTGGTCCCTTATTTAGATTTTCTAGATTCCTGCTATGAGTGAGACCATCCGGTATTTTTCTTTTTCTTTCTGGCTTATTTCACTGAGCATGATCTCTTCCAGCTCCATCCATGTTGCTGCAAATTGCATGAGTTTATCTTTTTTGATTGCTGAGTAATATTCCATTGTATATATGTACCACATCTTCTTGATCCAGTTATCTGTTTTGGGGCATTTGGGTTGTTTCCATAGTTTACCTATTGTAAATAGTGCTGCAATAAACATAGGGGTGCAGGTGCCCTTTTGAATTAATGATTCTGTGTCCTTTGGGTGAATACCTAGGAGTGGAATTGCTGAATCATATGGAAGCTAACAATAGCACTTTAATGAGATTTAGTAAACACTTCTCTGCTGAAGATGGATTTGATCTTTTTCCAAGAACTTCAAGCTGGCAGCATTTGCCACCCCACTGGATAATAAGTATCTTGTGGAAAGATATTAACCCATTTCCCATTATGCTTTAACCCATGAAGTGTAGCATCTACCAATGCTTCTTGATTGCAACAGTTATCACTGTTAGGTAGACATCATTAGGTGTTTACCTAATGATGATTTTGTTTCTATCACTCCTATATTTATCAGTTTAAATAATCCCTCTTCCCATTTATTTATTCACTTACACCCTTACGTCAAATAACCTATGGATTTATTTTATTTCATAGGTTATTACCCAGTACCATATTGTTACCAGCTATTGAATAATGGGAGAAATACTGCCATTAAGTGCTTCTAAGTGTAGTTACTAATGTAAGGGCCCCACATCTTACATATGGCTTATTATCTTCACTTACAAGGGAAGTTGAAATTAATATTTTCTTAATTTTGTTAAGTTGGAGTAGGGTAAAATTTACATCATTTGTACCATTCACTTACCAAATGCTGAGTTTGTTTTTACAAGCTTCCCTCAATAAAGATATAGGAGTGAGTAGAATATGGAACTGGCACATGGCTACCTATCAAGCATGCAGGGCAGGTTGGGCTGTATCCTGCTGCTCAGCCAGGCTGTGTACGAAACAGATCCATCAAATATACAGCTTAGTAAAGTCAAATGATCAATGATTGTTAGCTGATGGGAACCAGAGGGAATGGGGGGTCAGGAGGGAGTCCTATGACTTACTCTTCCCAGTACTAATAGGGATGTCATTTTGAAGTGTTCTTGTGGCATAGCAAGGAAGAATGGCATTGTGAGGACACAGACACACTGCAAGGGGCTGAAAACATGCCTGACCAGTAGAGGGAATGTAAAAGGGAAAATGGGGGGAAAAAAGTATGGAGCAGTTGACCTGGGTGTCTGGAACTTATAATTGATATTTAATTCATGCCACTTGCCTTACTCTGTGCTGTTAGCCTACCTGTTTGGAATTTTGAAAGTGCCTGAATGATTTTATTCTCCCAGGTCTGAAGTCAATAAAGGGGAGCTGTCACAATTTTTGTACTGCTTCTAAAGCTGTTACTTACACAGAACTTAAAAAACTATTGAAGTCCAAAAATACTATCTTAATTGATGTTAGAGACGTACAGGAAGTTCTCGAGCATGGAAAAATCCCTGGCTCTGTCAATATACCATGTAAGTGACATGTGTCTTAAACAGATTCCTTTGAATATATATACTCAATATATATATTCTGTATCTCAAATGTAATTGAAATTTTAAATGTTTCTTTTCCCCAGTGAATGAATTAGATAAAGCTCTACAGATGAACCCAAAGGACTTCAAAGAGAAGTACAATGAAGTAAAGCCATCCAAATCTGACAGTCTAGTGTTTTCTTGTTTAGCCGGAGTGAGAAGCAAGAAAGCTCTGGATAAAGCATTATCTCTGGGCTTTAGCAGGTGTGTAGATGAAGGATAAAAATGTGTATTGCAATGTTCCATTTTGATTACATTTTTATTGGTCTGTCTTAGTAATGGCAAAATAGTGAGACTAAGAGCTTCTATCTTTTCATCCTACTTAAAAGTAACAATCTTTTAAATAGGTCTAAAATCTAAATGGTATGGTGAGTAATCATTGCATTTCTAAACCTTCACAGTTCTTATCTCTAAAGTTTCTATCAGCGTTGTTTTATAAAACAGAAAATGTTTACAGGACTATTTGATGTGTTTTCAGTGCTCGAAACTATGCTGGAGGCTGGAAGGAATGGGCAACCTATGAATTTCCAGAGAAGAAGGAAGGAAAATGAAGTTTGGCATACAAGCTGATTGTGTGCACAGGCAGCCTAAGATAGCAGAATGAGCAAAATAATAAATACAGTCCTCAAACCACTCGCTAATGGGAAGAGGATATTGTCTAAGTCCATTTAAAATTTTTTTTTTCTCATCTGTAAACTGTGAATACCTTTAACTCCTTCCTGCCTACTTCCAAAGGCTATTGAGGATTGAGATGATGTATGTGATTTGCCAGTGGATATATAAGGGTTGGGTGGGGTTCTGGGAATTAATTTATAGTTTGGTACAGTTCAATAGTCTTCCAAAAGACCAGGTTGCTTATATTACCTATTTGTAATGTGACATTTGTATTAGTATGTCTTCTATTTATCAAAGAGCTGGATTAGTAGATTAAAAGACTTGATCGTAAAATCTTGAACTTAAATTTTGTTCCCAAGAATTCTGGAATCCAGAAAAGTAACTCAAATGTAAACTATGAAAACACATTAATAGCATCCAAAGCCTTACAGCAATTTTGTGACCAGCGAGGTCATGATACAATTCGTAACTTAAAAAAATTAATGAGGAGCCTCCCTGGTGGTGCAAGGGATTAAGACAATTTATGAAGCTGTCCACAACCTCTGCAGCGATCCCCCCAGCCAGCCAGAGAGCAACCAACATGGCGCAGCAGACCTCTCGTGACTCGCCTGCTGCTCCTCACAGCAGTGTACTTTCGGTCAGTCTGCCTGTTCTGTTTCCTACCCTCTCTCTGGTGAATCCACTCACCCCCTACCTCTGGCCTGTACCCCAGCTCTTGTATGCATAAATAAATCTTTGAAAAAAAATTAACATGATCTATGTGGATAGATAGCAGAACAGTAGTTGCTTCTATGGAGGGAAGGAGAATACCTGGAAAAGGTAAAGAGGGAAATTTCTAGAGTGATGAAAATGTTCTAACTTTGGTGTTAGCACATAATTAAATGTTTATCAAAACTCACTGAAATGAACTTTTTAAGATTTATTTATTTATTCTTATAATAGCTAGGGTACAAGCCAGAGATGCGGGGGGGTGAGAGAATTCACCAGAGACAGAGTGGGGAACAGAACAGGCAGATTGATATACACTGCTGAGGGAAGCAGCGGGTGAGACAGGAGAGGTCTGCCTCGCCATGTGGGTTGCTCCCTGGCTGGCTGGGGATCGAACTTGTGCTGCAGAGGCAGTGGATTGCTTCATAGTGCGGTGCTTAACTCCTTGCACCAGCAGGTAGGCCCCTGAAATGAACTCTTAATAATACACATTTTACAATTAAAAATAATGAAAATAGAAAAAACTTTCAAATGTAAATACTCCTAAGGCATGACTATATTGGAATGTTAAATGTTATTGTTAGTATGTTAGTGGACTGGTGAAGTTTTGCCTTTTCACACCCATCTATTTTTAATTTCATTTATGTAGTCATTCAGATTATGGAAGGTCTAGCAAGTAACTATAAGAACTTGGTTTGTCATAAACAATTTAAGTCCTCAGTCTGGAGTAGGAATGTGATGTGATCATCTTGAACTTCTGTTTCTGATGTCAGTCCGGTTTCTTGCAGACCAAACTCCCGGTAAGAATTATAAAAGCTCGGGCCTCCCCGGTGGCGCAGCGGTTGAGCGCTGGGTTGCGAAGCTGCCCGCAGCCACTGCAGCGCCGGTTCGATCCCCGGCTGCTCCCCGGCCACCAGAGGAGGGTCCCACATGGCGCGCAGACCTCTCCTGCCGCCCGCTGCTCCCCTCAGCAGTGTACTTTGGTTCTTCTGACTGCTCTGCTCCCCGCTCTGGCTCTGGTGAATTCTTTCACCCTCCCGCGCTTCTGACTGTACCCAGTGCTTGCAAGCTCGAAAACACGTATTTTATACACACATTTCAAAGATGGTTCATCCTTCTACAGCACTTTTTTCTCCCTGACTTAGTAATTTCTTTCAGGTCTTTAAACTGATTTTAATTAGGTATTTATATAAACAAGTATCACTAAGAAAAAAAGTTCTAAGGCACCAAGAATCTCTGAAGAATTAGTCTCAGAGAAGGAAAACTAGAGAATGAACCAACATTAAGGTGTTAGGTGCATCAAGGAATAGAAGTTTGGGTTAATGAGCCTGAGAAAATATCACCAGTATTTTTTTAATTATAAAAAAAAAAATTATAATTCTTTAAAAATTTAAAAAATAGCAAACCCAGGGCCTCCCCTGGTAGCACAGCAGTTGAGCGCTGGGCTGCAAAGCTGCCCACAGCCTCAGCAGTGCCGGTTAAATCCCCGGCTGCCAGCGAGGGTCCACATGGCACGACAGACTTTACCCTCAGCAGTGTATTTCTTCAGCCTGCCTGTTCTGTTCCCCGCTCTGGCTCTGGTGAATTCTCTCACCCTCCCGCACTTCTGACTGTACTCAGTGCTTGCATAAATAAATAAAATAAAAATCTTTAAAAAAAAAAAAAAGCAAACCCAAGTAAAACCAGGAGTTAGTCCTGATTTGGTCCATGGGCATAGTTTGCAGAGCTGAGCCAGAATCACAAATTATTCCAACAGTTTTTCACACACAGTGCTCAGAATTCTTAGAAACAGTACTAAATGGTATATCATTATTGAAAAAGAAGAGAAAAAAGAGACCCAAATAGAAACATACATATTTGCATTTTCTGACACAGACTTTTACTATGATTTAGAGGACACAATGGAAAAACTTATTAGAGGAATGTAAACTAACAAAAAGTATCAAACGGAAGTTCTACAATTTAGAATTACAGTAACTAAAATTAAAAACTCGATAGATGACAGATGTGTTTATCAGATCAGACACTGCTGAGGATTAGTGAAAATGGAAAAACTGAGGCATACATACTGACTCACAAAAGAGAAAAAGCAAGTTATAGAAACTATAGTTTGAAAACAAACCTGTGACACACTATCATTTATATATGTACATATGTTAAATATACATTATGAGAATAATAAATACCAAGTACAGAAAGGTTTTGGAGTGCATAGAGAAACATGTGAGGCTTTAACAATATTAAAGTCTTATTTAGTGTGTCTGATTACTTACCTTTTGTATCTGTGGGGTGGGAGACACTTAAACCAGATTCTACAATTACAACACCTTTGGATTCCTGGGGTTTTTTTTGGGGGGGGGGTTGTTTTTTAACAACAAAACCAAACCAAGATAGATATGAATGAATGCATTATTTACTCAAATATAATAGTGCTTGTATCTTTTGAAGAATTTTAATGCAAGAAATAAATGCATAATAAAATTTATAAAAGAAATTTAATGCAAGAATAGGTCAAAAGTTATAGAAATGTAGGATTATCTGCTATTATGCTACTAGACATTATGGTGTACTAGAAATTTTTATAATAAAAAACAAGGATATCCTGGAAAATGTGGCAACAGTGGACAGCTTTAGAGCTCTAAATTATAGTGTGTCGGGGTTTCCTTCATTTACATTCTTATCTACTTTATGATCTATCTCAGTGAGGTCTCTAGGATTCTAGGATAACACACCCTTTTGCTAACTACATGTATATGCCACAGAAATACTGGACAGAGGTGGGATCAGCGACTAATCCATAAAAACTTTGTATTATTAAAAACAGAAAATTGAATGCTTCTCTCACCATACAGTAAAAATTTTTCTGAATAAGGATAACAAGGAGAAAGGATCAAGGAAAGAAAATTTAAGAAAGTATATACGTAGAGCTAATAGTTCCTATCTAATAGTATTAGAGATTAAATCAATATCATGTCAAACATTTAATACTATGCTTTATTAATATTACTGGGTGAGTCAATACAATATGTACTTGTTCATATTTTGGGTTAATATGTGCTTTCATTTAACAGTAAACAAAGCAGGTGAAACTTCGAGCTAAACATCTGGGGTCAGGAATGGCGAAGAATTCTTGCTGAAAACAGAAGATAGTGGAACCCTGAATACTGAACAAGATACCTAAGGCCCCTGACATCACCTGTCTCAGAGAACTCTGATAGCTCACTTCACATCACCTCAGATAAAAAGCCAGAAGCTCCTTCTCTAGAAAGATGGCCCACCGCAAAGAAAAAGCTTGAGATTATGGGAGAGGGATGGGCTAATACAAGTTTTGTTCCTCCCTTACCTTCTAATGACACCCACCATTGAAAAGCCCTTCCTTCTCACGGAGAATTTCCAATTAGCTTTCTTTGCCTCTCAAATATGATGAATCCTAACACAATAATTCTAACTTGAAAGACTATGAACCAGATAGAAAAAGGGAATTTCAAAGAGTGTTAATGTAAGGAGCAAAGAAATTTTAAAACAAATCTAAATGTCCTTAGAATGAGAGCACATTCTTCAAATACTCTTCAAATAACAAGGTGCACTTAAAAATAAAAAGGAACCTCCGATGTACTTTTTCTCAAGAAGCTACTCCATTAAAACAAAGGCATAAGTAAACAAAGTGATGTGTATTCCCCATTATCTAAGACACCTAAACAAAAAGATGAAGAACCTGAGGAAGAATGTCTCACTGTAAGTGATTTGGGAAATAACTAATAACCAAAGATTTTGCTGATACACTAATAAAGGATACAAAATACATGGAACAAATTACAACCAAGGCAATGATCATTATAACTTCCAGAAAAGTCAAAAGTGCTAAAAATGAAATGTAACTATATTGAACTGCAGAACACATTACCCATATTTAATTTATATTGACTATGAGTTTACTAAAAGTTACACAATTAAATTGGGAGGATAATGGGAACAGAAGTTCTAATGAAGAAATGAGCTGGAGCGTGGGGTCAGGAAATAGGAGGAGATATGGTGAAATTTTCATCTACCATAGCAGGAAGTTAGTCAATATTTACAGTTGAAAAAAAAAAATCAAGAGAAGGTTAATTAGAAGAGGCAGCATGATAAAGTATTTAAGAACATAATCCGTGGAGTCCACTGCCCAAGTTTTAGGACTAGAATCTAATCCACATTCATCACTTGACCTATGAAAGGGCAAATAAATTACTTAGCTTTCTGTTCCCAAGTTTTCTCATCTCTGAAATTATCTTTTTAAAAACTTTATTTTTCCCCTTGTTCTTATTAACTTCTTAAAATGTTTAAATGTAGTACTTTCCCATAATTTTTGGACAATATATAATTTCTCCCCTAAAATGTGGTCACCACAGTTCTCCCATAAATTTAGATGCAGAGAGCTTAGAGCACAGATAGCACATAAGTGCTTAATAAATGTTACATACATTACTTGGAAAAGTTAAGTAATACAACAGCAGAAAAAAATGACAGTTGAAAGTCGTTGCTCTGGGGAATGGGAATGAGAGGTAGGGAGAATGAGACACTATGTATCCTACTCTTGTGTTGCTTTACAATTTCTACAATAAGAAGGCTGCAAATATTATAAGGCAGATGCATTAATTTTTAAGATAATTTTAAAAGAATACAGATAAAGGAAAAATTAAGGTTAAGTCAATGGTTGCAATATATATAATCATTCTGTCCTTCCAACCCAAACCCAACCTTAATTCCATCAGATCTTAGAACTTTTTTCTTATTTTTTTTATCCTGTTCCCTAAGCTTAGGAGACCTGTATCTGTCATTGAGACTAACTTTACACATAATCTTTTTCCAGCTCACTTGATGCTTTCCACAAGGAAGCAGAACTCAATAGCTTGTTTATAAATCATTCGAAATCACCCACTTGGCAAACTACAGAAGACTTAATAAAGGATTCTCAGAAAGCAATATAAGGCAGATTCAAAAAAGATAAAATTCAAGACACTAGTCAATATAGCTGGAGAACTTTTATTCTTGCAGATTTATACTAGGATGTCAACATTTAATAATCCATTGTTCACAATTGATTTATAAAAAATTTTAATCTTTAAATTGTACATCAATATCCTATGACTCCAAATTTTATTCATCACTCTCCTTCAAGTCTGAAGAAAATGATTAATTTATTAAGTTCCACAGACAGCACAGTCCCACTGACCCCACTGACATAACATTTAGTCTTAAGTCCTACACTCATATGAGAATTAAGAATAGCCAGTATCAAACTGACATGAAACCTGATTGTGTTCCTGGCTCAGGATACCTACAGTAAATTTGTAAGTCCATACTAAGACACAAAAATAAAGGAGGGTGTGTGTGTCATATAAAAAGCTTTTCACAGTAGAGTAAAAAGTAACATTAAAATGTTACCAAATTTCAACCATATTTTGGTATTTTATCTAATTACCTTTCAAAATGCCTCATTAACTGTGAATTAATTGCAAATAACTTGATGTAGGATTTTTTAAAAAGTTTGCCCAGCATTTCAAAATGGTTATGGAATTAATATAACCTTTATAATGTCAAAGTATGCTATACATATTGCACTTTTCTTCTACACTGGGCTAGTATCTTCCATGGCAAGCTACCAAAACTATTGAATAAAATACACTTTAAAATCAATAGGTACTTGATTAATTTCCCTGAAATTATCAACATCATTACCAAAATCTTCCAGGATTTTATAAGATTTGATTCCTTAAATACAGTTTCAAAGTTTAACTTAAGGAGGGAAAAAAAACCCTCATATATTTGACTTTTTTAATGTCCTTTTTTTGGTCCCGTCAATGACCAAAGAGAATTTCAAACAAATTATGTTTCCTGGCTTAATAAAAAGCTGTAATTTTTATTATCCAAATTAAGAAAAACTACACTGATCACAAGCTATTAAATTT